CTTAAAAGATTAGATTGGCTTTAGAGAATCAATTATAATTTAAGAATTAAATTGTACTTGTGATAGTCAAATTTGTTCCGCAATTGCTTTTGATAGAACTGGAAAACTTATTTTTTCAAGTGAAAATGAAAAATTAAATATTGGAAATTTGACTAAGGAAAAATTTATAAAATTTTTTCTTTAGCTGCTCACAAAAATATAATTACATGTTTTACTATTAGTAAAATTCAAGATAGCTTTATCATGTAGTTATGATGGTTCAATTATTTGTAAAAAAATATAAAAGAAAAATCGATTAAATCTGAAGAGTACACTAAACACATAAGAACTGTTAACTTTATACTCTTAAATAAATAAGAAGATATCTTTATGTCCTCAGGTTAACATAAGACAAATAAGGTAAGGGATACTCAAAATTCTTTAATTTGTATGTATTAATTAACTGATCATCATTATAAAGTACATTAATTAAGTTTGTATATTGATGAATCGCTATTGGCTTCATGGGGAAGAATTGAATTTATCATTTGGAAAAGATTTATAATAATTAATGGCATACTGAGAAAATGTTAGAAAAAGAGGAGGATGGATTTAAAATTTGCTTTTTGAATGATTACAAATTTATATGGGTTTGTGCACTTTAGAATTATATTTTAGAAAATTTAGTTATTGATGACAAAATTCAATAAAATCTAAAAACACACTATACTTTTAAGATAATGTTTAACATTTAACACAGTAGGAGCTATGACAATTGATGAAAAATATTTAGCTATTTCTATAAATTAAAAGAAACATAATCATAACATGTGCATAATATTATTGTTTTTAAATAAACTTAAACTCAATTCAAATTTTCCCTAATAAATTAACCCAATTTTAATCCATTTTTGTATTGTCCTATTAAAAGTATTTTTTGGGGACTAAAAAGAAAAATGAATAGATTACTCATTTTGATAACTTAAAATGTCTATCCATTATCCATTTTTTTAACCTTTTTCATTATATTGACCTCCTCCGCTATAATATAATTATATATTACATAGTTTTGTATTATGTATCTAACCTTTTTTTTGAAAAAATTTCCCATTTGCCAATTTTAATTCCATTTTTGAATTCTCCTACTTAATATATTTAGTATTCTCTACAATTTATTATAGAATAATACTCATCGTAATTTTCACAAATCTCAATCCATTTCCCAATTTTTAATCCTTAATTATTATATTTTCCACCACCTCTAAATAGATCATAATTATATTTACAATATGTAATCATAATGATCAAGAGTACTCCATTTTCCTATTTTCCATCCATCTTTATACTCTCCAGTATAAAAAACTCTACACTCACTGAATAATAGTTTTGAAATAATGTATACTTACAATAGTTATTATGTATTTCTATCCATGGCCCAGTTTTTATATCAGGTTATTCATAAACACCTCCCCCACTAAAATAAAATTTAAGAAAATACATTTTTTGTGAATTTTGAAAAATCTCCCATTTTCCTACTCTCTAACCTTTTATATAACTCCCTTAATAAAAAACAGAACAAAGTGTAAAAGTTTCAATCAAATTACTTCCATATAATTCAATCCATTTACCATCTTTGATACCATTCTTATCATAAACTCCTCCTCCACTACAAAATTAATCAATTTAAAATACATTAAGTTTTTTTTTCTCTTATATTCCTTTTTCGAATTTTATTAAAAGTATAATTCCCATTTACCAACTCTCTTTCCATTTTCGTATTCTCCAATCAAAAAAGTTTAGCAATTACTAAATTAAGTTTTATAAATAAAACCTCAAGAAATATTCACTCAATTCAATCCATTTACCTATTTTCTTTCCATTCTCATCGTAATTTCCTCCACCTCTAAATTTATAAAAAACTATTACATTATCTAGAATTATTCATAAAAAAAGTTTCTAAACTTGATTATCCATTTTCCTATTTTTTTCCCACTATCATATTTTCCACAAGAAATAACTTCATGGTCACTAAAATAATAATGTTTTTTTAACTGCCAAAAATTTTCATCAAATTCATTCCATTCCCCTATTTTCTTCCCAGATTGATTATATTATCCTGATGAACTATTCAATTTTAATTTACTAATTACAAAAAATTAAATGAGTCTTTATAAGAGAATCTGTAAAAAGTTTTCCATTCACTTATTCTTTTTCCATCTAAAAATTATCCAATATAAATTATTTGACATCGACTAAATTAAATATTATTCATATTACTTCCAAAAATTTTCATGTAAAATTGTCCACTCTCCATTTTTCATCCCTTTTTGATTATATACTCCTAAACCTCTATATATAATCTTTTTATAAATATTTTACATTATAGTATCATTGTAATATATATCCCATTATCCTATTCTTATTCCATTATTATATTATCCGACATAGGTTAATTTACTTACCCTATAAAAGAATTATTAATGACAATTTAATCTTACTTACTATAATTTTCAGATAATTCAATCCATTTACCATATTTTTAACCATTATTATCAAACCAACCTCCACCAACTTTAATTTTATCATCTTCCATCCAAAATGCACTCCATTTTCCAATTTTTTTATCATCTCTTCCATATTTCCCATTCCATACTAAGAATTAAGCTTATTCAAAGTTTCTGTATACTTCTTACTTATGGTCTGGATATTTGGTGGTATCTCTAAATTATTATTATAGATTTTAAAATTACTATCTAATAACACACCCATCCTTTATGTACATTCTTTAACCATCTCTAAATTTTATTGAAAATGTAGTTTTTTCATATAAAAATCCTAACATCGAATTAAATTGCTGTTATTTCCCTTCTAATTCAAGAGTCACGTCTATTCCTTTTTATTTTCCAAACATACAAATTTTCAAATTATTATTAATAATGATTTTTAATCTTGTTTTTAACAAAAATTACGAACCAAAATTTTATCTTGATATTTTTATAATTCTATCAAACAAATTTTTTTTATAATCAAGCTAGCTTTTGTCCATTTAAATACATAATTGAATTAAATAATCCATTATAGGAAATAAAATTTTACTATTTCTACATTTTCAAAAAGACAACATAAC